TACATTTTGAACTTAGTACATTTGTAAATACTTTTTTAAATACTTTAGATGGTGCGATAGTCAGGTCTTCCATGACTGTAGTAAAATGCCTGAGACAAACAGCTTCAAGGGAAAAGCTTTAGCTTGGTGGTTGGAGAGGTTCAGGGCATGTGTTAGCCGAATTAATTTGCAACTGTGATGGGGTAGGATATCACGGTAGGGTGCATGAGGCAGGGCAAAGCACATCTCTTCATGGTAACAGAAAAAGAAAGGGGCTGAGGTTCCACCATATGTTTAACACAAGTCTTTGGGGGAATATTTATGATTCAAACCATAACAGATTATTTGTTTTCTCAGATTTTAGTAGTGTTTAACAGTTAAATGTAGCATTTTTCCATTTCCATTGTATAAATATTCCCATTATGAACAATTAAGAATGTTTTAGATTTTATTTTGCCATATCATATCTTGCCTGGTTCCTACATAAGCCAGAAGAGAGCTTCAGATCCCATAGAACCAAAATTACAGATGGTGGTGAAATACCAGGTGAGTGCTTGGACTCAAGCGTAGGTCCTCTTCAAGAGTAAGTGCTTTTAACAGCTGAGCCATCTCTCTATCCCTGTCATGGACAATTTTAATCTACCAACAGTGACCTCACTAAAGGCAAAGTCTGTCAGTTCTCCTAAGCTGTACAAGCTGGTGACAGTATAACACTGCTTACGTTTGCCTCGTTATAAATCAAACATTATATTTAAGAATCTTTAGGGGGATATAGACCACATGTTTAACCTTGAATAGAATTAAAATGTTTAGAGGAATCTGAAGTTGCTAAGATTGAACAATTCTTGTCACCTTCATGGTGAGGTTGAACAAGCGTGGAATGGCTGACCCTAGATTTTATCTGGAAGACCTCGAAGAATGATGTGTTCCCATCCACCAATTTGGTTTCATTTCACTGACAACTTCAAACGCTGTAAAGCACAGAGGAAGAGGAATAATAATAAGAAGAAGAAGCAAAAGAAGAAAAAGAAGGAGGAGGAGAAGAAAGAAGAAAGAAGAAGAAGAAGAAGAAGAAGAAGAAGAAGAAGAAGAAGAAGAAGAAGAAGAAGAACAAGAAAAAGAAGAAGAAGAAGAAGAAAAACAGGAGGGAAATCCCTAAGAGTTTTATTCTAGGAAGTCAATATAGACACACAGTTAAACTGTCTCAGCGAGGAGGGGAAAGTGTATACATGTAGGAGGACTTTAAAGGGGACTTCCCATCTCTTTGCAAAGTATAATAGCATAATCACTGCTGCTCAGGCACACAGAACAAGGTTACAGTGGCATAAAGGTGAATCTATCCATTCCCCATAAAGCAGAATGGACCGCATGTCTGTTAGCCTTGTTCTGGCTTGTATCCCATCCTCTGAGTTTCTCAGACTGTAGGAAACCTTTGCTCAAGAACAACCACATCACTTCTAATATGAAAAATAAATGACCCAGAGACTGATAATGGGGTTCAAACTTCATGCTGAATATCAGAAAAGCAAAGCAGCCAGCCATTATCTCTGCCTCTAGCTCAGGCTGAAAAGGCTAATCCATGAATGAGCTGTTCACCAAGTCTCAGACGGTAACCTCTCCTCAGTGTGGCTGGAGAATGAATGCCTCATACTGGTTCCTTGTCCTGTCCTATATACCGCTCATGATTCCTGGGATTAAGGATGTGAACTATAATTTCCTTATAGACTGATTCACTTTTGTGTAGATCTGGGTGGCTTTGAACTCATAGAGATCTGTTTCCTCTTATCTGAGTTTTAGGATTATCACCACCTCCTAGCTTCTGGCTGCTGGGATTAAAGGTGTGTGCCTTGGCTTCTGTGGCCTGTGGCTGACTTTGTTTCTCTGATCCTCAGTTAAGCTTTAATAAATCATAAATAATATATCACTATGTTGGAACTATTCAAATCTCTACAGCTTGGTATTTAGCACTCATGCTATAGCTTAATCTGATCTCAACTCCTGGCCAAGTGATGCTCCCAGTAGTGTCCTTTCCAACAGAGATTAAGGTTCATGTCATATTCTATACCCTAACATATGGTATGGAGTGTGACTCATGCCTGTGTTGGTTAATAAGTGACTACCTCAAGACAGAAAAGTCAAGGTTAAAGGAGTTGAACACAACTCCAAAGAGATGCTGCTCAGTTTTCTTCCTTTTCTGTACCCCATTCTTTATGGAGCTTTGCTGAAACAGGCATATCAATCTTATCATTAGAAGCATCTTATTTACTTTGCAATAGCAACAATGTCAGAAGAAATCTCAGACATCACACAGCTCAGTTTTCTGAGGATTCTATTGGGTCCAGGAATCATAATATCCACAACGTCCCTGTTCAGTCAAGTTTTTAATGCTTGTGGGGGGTGATGTCAGTAAGCACGTGGTTGTCCAGGTAAGGAAAATAGTGGTCCATCTAAATGTTGATTGCCTCTGATGAAAGAAAGGTATCCCTTGTTAGGTAATGAACTTGTTAGATAAGCCACTGGGTGCTTCATTCAGGAGTACCCTGAAAAACACTCACTAGGGATGGGTCCCACCATTATAAATTGTTTGAAAGTGCTTGGTCTAAACAATTGCATGAAAATTGCAGGCTTAAGACAAGCTGGGGTCAATCCTAAATTAACAAAAAGAATATGTGATAAGCATAAAGATAAGAGTAGGTAATGGTGATAATATTTACCAAATATTAATATAGGAAGAGTTCTCCTAGAATGTGTGGTATTTACTAATTATTTTTCACAGTGTCATCAACATTGACTTCATTTTATAGCAGCATATTTATTACATGTACACACATGCACACATGCACCTGGAGGGGGGGGATGACACTCACAGAGACAGGGAAGAGAGGGAGATGGGAAGAGAGGGAGAGAGAAAAGATTATTCCAAGGCCATATAGCCAAAAATAAAAAAGCTAGGATTTGAACCCTAGCCTTTTAAAGCATTTCACCACTTCACTAAATTACTTACTGAGAAAGCCTACCACATACCAAGTCTTGTTCAGTCTTTTAATCATCATAATAGTCCCATAGAGGATTCTGCCATCCTATTACAAAACAGCTATGTAAAGTGTTGGAGATCATACAGCTAGTGTTGCACACCTTTAATTCATCCCCTGAAGAGGCAGAGGCAGTAGGAGGATCTCTGTGGATTTGGGGCCAGCCTGATCTCCACAGTGAGTTTTAGGACAGCAGAACTTTGTAGAGAGACCTTGCATATGTACCTAGGTAGCCTGTCTAGTTATGATGCCTTTCCCTGCTCCTTCAGCCTCCTCTAGGTACTAAGCTCCATGTAATGTTATAGTGCTATAAACAGAACTTTGTTATGTGCAGGCGGAGAAGGTGCATGAGAACAGAGCAACATAAATGTCTGTGGAGGGAAATTAAAGCTGATTGGCCGTGCCAGAAACCTAGGCAGTTGTCAAACAATCTGTTAATAAGGAGGCAAAACAAGAGACCCCTCTGTCACACAGAGAGAAGATTTGGTAAGAGAGGATCTCTAGTTCCCACCAGGTTAGGGGACATTATCTCTAATAAACTTTGCAGTCTGGGACTTTTGAAAGGAAGTGAGTTTACAAGCAATCCGAATGTTTACTTGACTGGGCAACTGAAGAAATGTACACAACATTCAATCCCTGGATCCCCTTTCTGAACACTTTTGTTTTTTAAAAAACAGGTTGGGCTGGGAGTAGATCAACTGGTAGAGTGGCTGCCTGGTATGCAGAGCCCTGGGGTTGCTCCTCAACACTTCATAAAACTGAACACGGTGGCACACGCCTACAATCTCAGGACTTGGGAGGTGGATGCAGTGAGCTCAAGGCCTGTCTAGGCTATATGAGACTCCGAATTAAGAAACAAACAACCAAAAAACAAAAAAACAAAAAACATTCAAATAAAATTTTCAAATGTGGTTCTGTTGTGTTGCCTAGGCTACCAGGCAGGCTACCTTTAAATCTGTGGGGTTGTGTAACTGGGACTACAGGCATCTGTGCCCAGCTGCATTATTTTTCTTAAAGAATTGAATTCATTTACAAAGTCTGTGGAGGTATTCCCTGGTGCAGGATCACCTCCCCAGGAGGTGCATCACAGCACACAAGGATTTCTCACTCTGCTGACCCAAACTGTTAGTAATTCCCCTCCTACCTCCCAATGACCAAAGTTTAAGGCCTCAGTCCTGTTCGGGTCCTGTGCAAGCAACCTCAGCCACTGTTGAGCTCATCAGTACCACAGCCACGGCTTGCCCATAAAACAGATTTCAGCCAGGCGTGGTGGCACTCGTCTTTAATCCCAACACTCGGGAAGCAGGGAAAAACTGTCTCCACGGAGTCCTGGGCCAGCCAGGGCAACAAAGTGAGAGCCTGTCTTAAAAAGGGCAGAAAGGAGAGATACACATCATCCCAAAGGCTAGCAGGCTGATTTTGTCTGTGGCCCAGGAAGACCCCAAGGCTTCCGGAGCTCTGTCCTCATCCGGTTCTAGTCACCAGGAGGAAGAAGAGGCAGGCAAGGACTACTGTGCCTTGTCCCACCGCCTATAGTTCACTGGGAAGGAGAAGGCGAGCGGCTTCCGACTGCATAAGGGCCTGCTCCCTCGGAAATAGCTTTCTCGATGGACTGAAGCCCTTGTGGTGCTCTCCCTCTAGGATAACACGAGGCTAACCACGTCCGAGCAGGGCCTAAGGGGACCCAGCGACCCAACGCGGAGAACGCCTGCCTAGGACTCCCCTTACCTCCCCACACGTTTGATCCCTCCCCCTCTTCCCGGCAACTCCCCGATTGGCTGTGCAGGCTCCGGAGGGGTGCAGTGATTGGCTAGAGGGCCGTCACCCCGCTTAACGCGGAGCCCTGGGGGCGGGGCATGCCGGCGATTGCCCCGCTGCTTGGAGCGGCGCGCGCAGCTTCACTTAATCAGCGGGCGCGCGGGCGAGCGCTCCTCCCCGGGTGGGAGAGTGGAGCTGGCCGAGAGCACAGAGGGGCGCTGGGCAGGGCAGTCGGGAGGCATGGCGCGGCCGGACGACGCCGAGGAGGGGCCGGCTGTGGTGCCCGGGCACCCGCTGGCCAAGGGTTACCTCCCGGTGCTGAGAAGCGCCCCGGACGGGGAGGCGTGCGCGGAGCCGCACGACGGGCCCGAGGCTGAGAACCGAGGCCCGGCGCACGGCCCCGTGGTCGCGGGAGCCCCGGACGGGCCGCAAGCCCTGCTGGCGGCGGAGGAGGAGACCCAGGCCCGGCTGCTGCCGGCGGACGGTGGGGAGGACGGCCCGGTCCCCACGCGCTCCCCGCGCACGGCGCTGTCGCCGCGGCGCTTCGTGGTGCTCCTCGTCTTCAGCTCGTACTCGCTGGTGAACGCCTTCCATTGGATCCAGTACAGCATCATCAGCAACGTGTTCGAGGGCTTCTACGGCGTGTCGGCACTGCACATCAACTGGCTGTCCATGGTGTACATGCTGGCCTATGTGCCGCTCATCTTCCCCGCCACCTGGCTGCTGGACACGCGAGGCCTGCGGCTCACGGCGTTGCTGGGCTCCGGTCTCAACTGCCTGGGCTCCTGGGTCAAGTGCGGCAGCGTGCAGCGGCACCTTTTCTGGGTCACCATGCTGGGGCAGAGCCTGTGCTCCGTGGCCCAGGTCTTCATCCTGGGCTTGCCCTCCCGCATCGCCTCGGTGTGGTTTGGACCTAAGGAGGTGTCGACGGCTTGTGCCACTGCGGTGCTGGGCAATCAGGTAAAGACTGGAACGACTGGAAGCCGTGGGCGGGGCTGGGGCGACGGTCGGTGGGTAGAAGCGTGAAGACTGAGCGGCCAGCACCACGTGAAAAGCCGGCTTGGTGGCCCCAGGTTGTATTCCCAGCCAGCACTGACAGGTGAGGAGGACGGCTCCCGAGAAAGGACATCCAAGATTGCCCTCTGGCTTACACACAGACACACTTGGAAGCTTTGACAGTGAAGGAGATGTCGTAGGTATTTTTGTCACCCACTGCAGAAGGAAGGGTTGAGTTCTGTGAGGTTTGCTTCCGTATCGAATGTCTTTGGAACGGCTCCGATTTAATTATATTAGTAGTGAGCCCAGCCTGGTACGTACCGAACAGGTATAAGTGAATGTTCAACAAATGTTCTGGTGATAAAGGCTTGGCAATATTACTGAGTTAGTTACTAGCTCTAACAGTCAGGTAGTGGAAGGCAAATCACTGATCATGGAATGGTTAGTGGTTAATTAGCCAAGGCTCCCTTAAGAAATGACCTTGTTTTCTCACCATAAATTCAAATGCCGCTAGAATTTCACAAGCAGTACTAGGCTAAAGGTTTGTTTTTGTATGTGTGCACGCACACTCGAGCACTATTTATTTATTTATTTATTTATTTATTTATTTATTTATTTAGAAACAGGGTTTCTTTCACTCTGGGGAGCTGGCCTGGAATTCACTGTATACTCCTGGCAGGCTTCAAACTCTTGATAATCCGGCTTCAGCCTTCCAAACATAGGAATGAGCCACCCTACTGTTATGTTTGTATTTGTTAATTTCAGACTAGTTCTCTTATTGTAATTTAAATTCGTAGTAGAGGGCACTTGTAACACCAGTACCATTGTAAAGGATATTTAGTATTCATTCAGGTGAAGGAAATCTAGTTTAAAAACAAATCTGTATCCTTTGTTATACATATATTGCTACATGCAGCTATGTAAACAGAAAGTGTTACTTTCTTCAAGTATCACTTGGGTCAACATGGTGGTCTAAAATACCCCCGAAATGTGTGCTTATTTTGTTAGATTTACTTACTTTCTCTAAAAATGCAGAACTGATCACTTAAACTATAATTGCTGTGTATAAATATAATTTATGGCTGATACTTTGGTTGTTGCTGTATATTTGGATAGCAGATGCTTTCTTAATATATTTTTGTTTATAAATTACATTCAAGGTTAATGTTTCATTGACATAACAAAAATATTATCAACTCCTTATCTATGAGGCATCAATTTTATGGATAATAAATGGAAACATTTACTTATAGGTGAACTTCCCCCTATCAGCACATTTCTGGGTCTTCTTATTGTCTCCTAAGGTAACTGTAGTTGTTCATTATGACCAGATGTGCCATTCTCAGCCCCATTTATGGAATGATCATGCATGATAATATTCAGAAACATCATGCAGTCACTAAGAGCTTGGTGGCTTGGTTACAGTGTCATTCAACTTAACATTATAAGGTTAGGAACTATAAGCTTCCCCACTTGATAGATAAGGAAATCGAAACTTGAAGAAATGGAATCATTTTCCAAAGGTAAAAGTGTGTCTGGTTCCTGAACGGCAGCACTTAAATTCTTCAAGCTCACCAGTGGTTTCCCCAGAGCACTTGTGAAGTGTTTGCTGTGGATTACAAAACCTTTGTAATGTATCTTTGGCTTCTTAAACAGTGCCAGACTTGCACTTACACAAGGACCTTTGCAGAAACATTCCTTCCTATGCCTAGAGTATTCTTCCTGATCAGATTACTTGACTAACACTTAGAGCCACTCAAGTTCATATTGAAAAGCCAGTAGATTCCATGCAGAGTTACTCAGTCACTTTCTTACGACATCATTGAATTTTATCTCTGCATGTAGCATTTATCACTGTCTCCTGTTTATTATTTGTAGACTTACAAGTATACATGTTTAATGCTCATTACTGCCCATTATTCATTATTTCCTCAGAGTAACCTTCCACACATCTTTGTAATTACTCATTTATTTTCTTTCATTGAATTTCTTTGTGTGTGTGTGTGTCTGTCTGTCTGTCTGTCCGTCTATGTCTGTCTGCCTGACTGTCTGTGTGTCTGTGTACAGGTGTACATGTAGGAGGAAGGTGGATGCCCTTTGTCACTCTGTACCTTATTCTTTTGAAGAAGAGTCTCATAAACCTGGAGTTCAGGTTTTTCAGCTAGGCTATGAGCCATTGGGGCCTTAGAGATCACCCTGCCCCACCCTAAGACTGTGTGTGTGTGGTACAGGTGTGCAAAGGACCATACCCAGCCTACTGGGTGGGATTAGAACTCTGGTCCCCATGCTTGCACAGCAAGTGCTCTTACCCATTGAGTCACCTTGCCAGCCCCTAAATACTTTCTATATGTGTAGCACAAGTTCTAATAGATATTAATTAAAAAAAAAAAAAAAGCAAAAAAAAAAAAAAAAAAAAACAAAAAACTGGAGTCCAATTTTGGAGACTGGGGAAGCTGAGAGATCAGAGAAGCAAAATAGCAAACAGCCAGTCACTAGTTCTTACCTCTACTGAATCCTCAGACCAAAGGGTGATTCTGTCTCTAGGAACCCTCAGACTGACTGCTGCTCAGACTGCATCCATCTCCACGAATCCTCAGAGTGCCTGAGCTCCTGTCTCCTCCCTCCTTACATTCCTCTCTCCACCTCCCTACTACTGAGATTAAAGGCCTGTAGCTCCAAGTGCTGGGATCAGCATTGTGTGAGCTCTGTTTCTATTTTACACTGGATCAATTTTGTGTAGCTCAGAGTGATCTATCTGCCTCTGTCTCCCAAGTGCTGGGATTAAGGTGTGTGCCACCACTGCCTGGCCTCTATGGATAACTAGTGTGGCTAGTTTTGCACTCTGATCTTCAGGCAAGCTTTATTTGTTAGATCATAAAATATCACCACACATATGGATTTGTCTATTCTGAATATTTTATATAGGTGAAATTATATAATGTGTACTTTTTGTATGACTTAGTTCTCTGTGTTTTCAAAGTCCATGATACAGTGCTACGTCAGTACTTCATTCTTTTTTACAGATGAATATATTTCATTGTGTGAACATGCCAGATAAAATTTAGGTTATTACCATGTTTGGGGTCTGTGAATGGGGTTGCTGTGAATGTTTGTGTATAATTTATTTGACTATCTGTTTTTAATTTGGGGGAATGTACTTACAAGTGAAAATGAAATATCATATTTTAGTCCTGTGTTAACTTTGTGAAGAAATTACCAAATTGTATCATAATGGCTATATCATTTTGCATTTGTACCAACAGTCTACAAGGGTTCCAGTTTCTCTAGTTCTTGTGAACACTTCTCTCTCTCTCTCTCTCTCTCTCTCTCTCTCTCTCTCTCTCTCTCTCTCTCTTTCTCTGTCTTCTCTTTTTGGTTTTATGGGACTGGGTTCCTTTGTGTAACTAACTACCCTGGCTATCCTGGAACTCACTCTGTAGACAAGGCTGGCCTTGAACTCCCAGAGATCTGCCTGTCTCTGACTTCCAAGTGCTGGGATTAAAGGTGTCCGCCACCACTGCCCAGTGTGAATACTCATTTTTTGTTCCTATAATTATATTCATCCTAGTGTATGTAAGATGGAGTATTTCCCTTAACAACAAGGTGTTGGCATTTTTTCCCATATTCTTTTAAGTTGTTTGTGTGTTTTTGGAAAAACATCTTTTCAAGTCTTTGGCCCATTTAACTTTGGGATTCTTACCTTTTTGTTGTTGGGTTGTAAAAAGTTCTTTATTCTGCATGCTAGTTCCTTATCAGATATGATTTGGAAATATTTTCCCCATGTTGTAAGTTTTTTACTCCCTTATCAGATATAGGGGAAAAGTCTGGCAACAGTTTTTCTTTAATAACACAGAAGTAAAACTAACATTAGAATGGATTTTTTTTGTGGGGGTTTACAGTGCATCTTTATACGTACTACTGTTTCTCTTTATATTCTGTTAGATGCTAATATTTGCTCTTTGTTTCCTGTTAATAGCTGTTAACAGGACTGTTTATTTTACAGCTTGGAGCTGCAGTTGGCTTTTTGTTACCACCTGTTTTAGTGCCCAACACACAGAATAACACAGACCTTCTGGCTTATAACATCAACATCATGTTTTACGGAACAGCATTTATCTCCACATTTTTATTTTTTTTAACAGTAATTGGTAAGTGAATTGTTTGTCCTAAGGCTTAGATAAATGCATGACAATATATTGAGAATAACTAACCCTGGAAAGTTTTGCTGATGGTGTCTCCAATGCTGTTTGTTTTATTCTGGCCATGCGATGCCTCACCCAGGTACTGAATGGAACAGCTCTAGGAATATGTTATGGTATACTCCATGTTTTGTTTTAACATGCTAAAGGGTTTGAAGACTAATCAATCCCATTTACCTTTCTACTAACTCAACTTGGTAAGTGTTCATTTCAAACATGCTGCCTGGCTTCCCTTCCCATATTCATGTGTGTGGTGTGCATTTTGTACTTACCTAGCCTGCAGCTAGTTCCCATCATGCTTTGAAATGATGTAAATAGACTACCACCTTCTCTTTCATAGGAAATTCCCCCAGGGATCCCCAGTTTAAGATTAACTGGGTCTAAAGTTGTTGACCTGTGAATGATTCTGGGCAGCATGAGCTGTTCAGAATTTCAAACTGTGGCAACTATCTGCTTGTTAGGCCACTTCAGCAAAGCCTGGCTACCATCATTCGTCCCTGAGTCCTCTCGTCTGGGCCTGTCTTTTGAAGGAGTCAGTCAGAGTCAGCTGCAAGCAGCCATCACCAGCTTGGAAGAAGCTTTGGGAAGGTCTGCTTTTTTTTTTTTTTTTTTTTTTTTTTTTAAGTTTATTTTTTTTAAGGGGAAGCAATTTTGATTTTAGGGGAGAAGATAGCCAAGGTGTATCTAAGATATATTGATGTTGTTGTAACTGGAGTAGTGCCTGGGTTAGACAGTATCTCTTAGATGGATTTTATTAGGAAAGAAACTATGAAGTTCACAGACTTTTAGTTAATGTTTGTAATTAAACCATGTTATAGTTGGAGGTTTTAGACTTACATATTAAACTTTTACCTTGCTATGATGTTAATGAAAACTTCATATTTTATGATCTCCAGATATGAAGTGAGTTTTCAGAGAAATATCTGCTGATTACCTGGGTGTGGTGAGCTGCAGGATCAGGTATAGGAAGCTCAACCCACATCTGCAATTTCCCTTGAGATAATGAACGGAATGTTCTCCTAGCATCTGAAGTATGCCAGTACATGTAGTTAGTTGGCTTCTCAGTCTTTATCTTTGCAGTTAGTTGGGGAGTGGCATATTTGTACTGTGCACACTGCAGAAAGCACAAGTTTTCCTTGAACTCTTAGTATTTTAACAAAGTTTTTAAAAAATATATACTGGTGAGGGGACCTCTTAAATCTGCTTTTCCGGTGGGTGTATTGCGCTCACTTGACGAAGTAGGAAATATTGCTTCTATACACTTTAGAGAAATGGATAAGTATAAAATGTCTTTCAGCCATTTGTGTGTAATCACATGAATCTCAGGCTTCCGTCTTGTTGAATCTTCAGTTAAGTTGAGCTTCTGTTTACAAAAAATGAATAATTAATTACATAAGAACATATTTATAGAAGGAAAGGGCTGGAGAGGTGGCTGAGCAGCTGAGAGCACTTTCTGCTTTTGCAGAGAATCCAGGTTGTGTTCCCAGCACCCATGTCATTGGGTGGCTCACAGCCTCCTGTAGTTCCAGCTATAGGGATCTGACCTCTGCATGAATGCCCTGCGTTCACATGAACAAAACCCAACACATACACATAAAAGTAATTAAAAGTCAAGATATTTTTAATTAATTGATTGATGGGAAGATAGCTCAGTGGTTAAGAGCACTTGTGCCCTTGTTGCTGTTGTAGAGGATCCGGTTCAGTTCCGAGCATGCACATGTAGCTAGCTATCTTACAACCATTTGTAACTCCAGCTCCCGAGAATCTGATGCTGTCTTCTGAGCTCCATGGACACCAGACACTAATGGTGCACATGAAGACATGCAGGCAATTCAGTCATACACATACAATTAGTCTAAAATAAAGATAAAAATTTAAGAATATCTATAGTTAAAGTTTTTTACATAATATGTATATTGTATAAACTTACAAATAGGTTTGTAAGTTTTCAAAGACAGGAGAAAGAATAGTGAAATAGGTATGACTATTGGTTTATCACCTTTTGTAGTTTGAGAAATTAAAGATTGAGCTACTTACACGTCTAATTAGTCATGGATGTGCTTGTGGCTTATGGGTTGAAAGTAGAGGCAGAGCTGGAGGTGTGGAAACAGTGGGATAAAAAAGGGCCTGTGTCCCATTTGTCTTAGTGTCCTACATCTTTAATCTTATGACTCTAGGTATCATAGAAAAGCAAACTAAGAATTAGTCATGGTTAACCTGTACTATATTCCCAGTACTTGGGAGGTGGAGGCTGGAGGATCAGGAGTCCAAGGTTCTTCTTGGCTACATAAGACCCTGTCTCAAAAAAAAAAAAAAAAAAAAAAAAAAAAAGGCAAGAGAATATACCATTATTGTGTGAAATTGTGACATTAAATAGAAAGGTGGCTTGTGTCATACTCAGATATATTTGCTGAGGAAGAAAACTGAATTTGGAAATTCTTAACTTAAAATGTTTTATTTACTAGATGTTTAATAGCCTTCTAGATGCTACTGATAATTACTTAAAAATTCAACCAAATCCATATAATGTATAGCTATAATTACAGTTTCTAGTAACATGACACATTAAATTCATGTTCATCAGTCTCCCTCAAAGATTTCCTTAAAGGTTCACTTGTATAATCTTCCATGTCCTCGAGGGGTGAGTATATGGATGGAACCCCTAGGAATCCTAGGAACTGACCCTGTCCTTCCGTTGAATGCACACTAATTCCCCATTCTTGAAAATCTGGCTTCTCACATTTGAATGGTAGATGTGCACCAAAACATGGGTGAATGCACACCACATGTTGGTTCTTATTATACCTCAAGATTCTTGACCAGCATTGAGCAGGCAGAGACAGTTGGAATCTGTGAGTCTGAGGCCAGCCTGGTCTACAGAGTGAGTTGCAAGACAGCCAGGGCTACACAGAGAAACCCTGTCTTAAAAGAACTAAAACATCAAAAAAAGAAAGAAAGGAAGGGAGAAAGGAAAGAAGGAAGGAAGAAAGGAAGACCACTTTGAGGAAGTCCTTATACTCTTCCCATCTTACTGAAGTTCACACATAAGTTTAATTCACCAAACATCACTGTTAGTAATTCAAGTTCCTTCTTAGAAATGGCAATGCTTTTAAATTTAAACTTAGAATCTGTTCAAGCACTAAAATCAGCACTAAACTATATAATTTAACTCAGGTGTATCTATTAAAAAGTTTTGTCACTTAAGTTGATGACACCAAGAACAACAGCAATAAAAACATTTAATTCAGCTGAGTGGTGATGGTGCATAGCTGTGATCCCAGCACTCAGGAGGTAGATCTCTGAGTTCAAGTCCAGCCTGGTCTACAGAGTGAGTTCCAGGACAGCCAGAGCTACAGAGAGAAACCCTGTCTTGAACTCTCTGCCCCCACCAAAAAAAAAAAAAAAAAAAAAAAAACCATTTAATTCAATATTAGTGCACATAAAGAATGTATAGGCTAGATGTGCAATTGTATTTTTGATTCTTCTATTCAAGATGTCTACATGACTACAAAACTTTTAATAGAAATGCATTTTACTTACTTAGTCTTTAAGTATTTCAAGCTCTTGAAGCAAAGTCTGTTTTTTAAAGTGAATATTTATTTATTCATTCATCTATCTATCTATCTATCTATCTGTCTATCTATCTATCTATCTATCTATTTATTTGACCTCTCTATGTAGCTTTGGCTGTCCTGGAACTGACTACAAAGACCAGGCTGGCCTTGAACTCACAGAGATCCACCTGCCTCTGCCTCCTGAGTGTTGGGGTTAAAGACTTGAACCAAGGAGTTCCACTTTAAGTGAATATTTTTCTAATGAGACAATATATTTTCTGTAGCACTGGATAATTATAAAATTTTACATATTTTGTGTGATCTTTAGAGCAGCATCACTGTTATTTCCATTCAAGAAATGAGAACCTAAAACTGAGACATGTAAGTTAGGGCAGAGGCAGAATTCACAAGTGTGTTTATTTACCTTCTGGTAGACAGTGTGCAGTGTCTGTCTGCATCTCACGAGTTACTGAGATGGCTCTGAACAGCCCTGGGTTGCTGATTCTTTATCACAGGAGGACCTGTGTGAATGCTGTGCTCTTCAAGCTTTTGGCAGCCCCATGGACCTAATGCCAAGTGGAGAGTAGCTGCTATTTGGAGTTAATAATCAATTCTTTTATTGGCACAGATTTTTAGTGGGAAAGAGTTCCCCATTTCAAAAGGAAAAAAGAAAGGCCCTATTTCCTGCTTTGAGATAGGTACACAACAACAACAACAAAAAGATCATAGACAGATGACCTTTTGTTCCTCATTCTCTTCATGTAGCACTGAGTCTGTCCTTCCAATGGTGTGTAGCTGGTGGGTACAGGAGTCTGTCCTTCCAATGGTGTGTAGCTGGTGGGTACAGGAGTCTGCCCTTCTGACAGTGTGTAGTTGGTAGGTACAGGTTACATTTGCCTAGAGATAGATAGTTCATCTCTCTGGAACTAGAGGATGATACTTATATTCAGAAAGTGAATTTGAATGGAGCTAAAGACTGGTGATGATGGTTTTTAATTTATGTAAGTTTTCAATCCACGTCTGGTTCATTTTGATTTGTTTTGCTATAGTAAATTAAAACTTAGGAAAGATATTTAAGACTTGCTGGAGACTCATGGCTACATTTATAGTATGAAACCTTAATTTACTACTGTGAAAGTTTCATGTTACCTGTGCTAATAAAAAGAAATATCTCCTACCCAACTAGGCTACAGAGAGACTTGCAGGACAGACACGAGGCCTCCTAACAGTGCAAGGATCAGATAGGGAGGAAGGAAGAGGAAGAATTGCTGCAGCTAAAGGTTTTGTGTTCACCAGGCTCTAATGTAAGGATGCTACAAATGAGTACCTATGACTTAGTTCCCACCTCTGAAATAGAAGTAGTCTTAGTTTGCTTTTAGTTACATCGTTCTTTTTTCCAACAAAAACTTATTATTTTTTTTATCAGCAAATAGAGACTCATAACATTTTGTGGGCATTAGAAGGATTGTTTCTTCCCCAGTAACTCTCAGATATGCCTGTGTATTGGGAATGTCCAGGAATTTCTGTGTTTAAAGTCTCATATTCCATCCTGGAGATTCTGCTTATTATACTTTGTAGAGAGTCTCAAAATCAGTATTAATTTTAAATTTCCAACCAAAGGCATCAGACCCAACCCACTTCAAATAGAAAGTAAAACAGGCCTCTTTGAACCTAGAAGAACTTGCTAGGAAAAGGGAAAGGGGGAAATGATGACAGGGAGATGGGGGAAGGGCTCTGCTGTGTAAAGGTTTTCTGAGAGAAGGGAGGAGGTAAGTGGAGAGAAAAGCAGAAATTAGTCTTTTAGAAAACATGTGCTTCTTTACTTTTTTACTTTCCCTGTTAATTCTTAAGCACATTTTTTCATGAATTCGCTGATGTGTACATCCAGGGTCTATGATAATAGAGACATAGGAAGGTCACCGAATCCAAGCATTCCCCTTTCTTAAGGGACTGAATTTAAAAGTCAAATCCTTGATACAGTAAACATTGATCTTGATTGTAAAAGTGGAGTAATCAGTGGGCAAAGGTGGTTTCATTGCCAGTGGTTTTTCAGTTCAAATGAATTGACCAGATCTCTGAGTTTTAGTTCAGAGAGGTAAAAGGAAATGTCAAATTATTCTTCACTTAGTGAAGATAAAAAACAACTTTGCCATAAAAGACTTGTTACTCCTAAATGAGATTCTCTCCTCTCACTAAGAAAGGAGATTTTTAGTCATGTATGGTGTATGGGTGTAATATGCATACATCAGTCATATGTGATCCTTTTCACACATCTTCCCAGCATTCACGGAAAAGCCTCTGTTACCACCAAGTCAGGCTCAGGCAGCTCTTCGAGACAGCCCTCCTGTGGAGTACTCCTACAAGATTTCCATCTGGAACCTGTTCAGAAACATCCCTTTTGTTCTTCTGCTGGTCAGTTATGGTAAGTGGCATTGTGTTTGTTGGTGTACACTGACTGATTGATATTTCAGCACTATGGATTCTTTTTATTGAAACTAGTGGCTTGAACATTAGTGAGGTTGGTTCATGAACCCCATGGCATAATTATGAACTTAAATGTTGAACTAAAAGCAAAAGTACCTAAAGGGATTTTTCTTTTCTGTTTTTAAAATAGAAAAAAACAAAACAAACAAACAAAAAAAAAAAAAACAGATCTCCGAAGTACTATGATTTTTTTTTTTTTTTTTTTTTTGAGTCTGGTGGAGTGTTACAATTAGAATGTAGAAGTTCTACTTGGAGATATATTTAGAGAAACCCACCCTTGTGTTTAGGAGTAAAATCTTAACCTGGGGGGAAGAGTGTTAAATGTATATTGATAGACAACAGGTAACTGAATTGAGATATATTCACACTATGGACTATTACGTAGTAGAGAAAACTAATGAATTAGAACATAAAGTGTCACCATGAATCACAATAATTGATGGTAAGATCAAGTTATAGGTAAATACTATTTATAAAGTTTATATGCAGAATAATTCTAATTATTCATGAATACACGTATGAAATGAAAAACTCCAAGATGAAAATAGGAGTACTTTTGGAAAAGAAAGTATATTAGTGGGGAAATTAAAAGCAAAGATGGCATAGTGTTAACATCTGACAAAGATCAGTGATGAGAAATAATACGTTTAAATCTCAGCTGCATTACTGATCCAGTGCCTTTGAGGGAGGGCACACCAGGGTTTGAGACAGCCCGTGTGATGCCTCATAACCAGCTGTTTAGATTCTTTGCTGTGTTCTTTCATTCTTTGGTAAGTCTTTGCTTCAAGGGTAAGGGCTCTGAAACAAGCATTCCGTTATGTTGTTAATGATGAGGTTTTTTTCCCCCGTAAGGTATTGTCTGTTTGTCTGTTGTTTAGTGGGGTGTGAGGCTAGGAATCAAACCAAGGGTCTTATGCATACAAGGCAAACCCTGTCATTGCTCCCTGTCTCACTTTTCAAAGCCACTGGCTGAAGCTCACGATACAACTAAATGTTGCTTGAATGGTACCATGTGCAGTTACATGTGCAGATACGATTTGTAATCCACATGCCTGAATCAAAATAATGAGTTTAACACAATCCTAGTTTCCATTTCTGTTGCTACAACAAAATGCCCAGTGCTGGATATTATATAAAGAAAAGAGGTGGACTTATCACATATCCTTGGAAAGTTAAAAACAAGGTAGTCCCATCAGTTCAGTCGCTGCTGAGAAACCCTTGGGAGCATCATGAGAGGGGTAAAATACAATTTTGTGCCAAGTAGGCCAAGGTGTTGTGGCCTTATTTTATAACAGCCTCCTCAGCTAATGACTGACTCACTCCATGAGACCTGAATGAATCTTTCTGAGGAGTCCCTGTGCCTCATCTCCTTGTTCTAGGCCCCTCCCTTCTCTGGAAGGGTCCATCACCTTTGACCCACCCATGGGGAAGCCCAAGATTCCAGCACGGATCTCTAGTAAACCTAGTGTTAAATCCACCTGCCTGCTTTCTGAAAAACCACAGTGGTAGTGTTTACTTGTCTTGATAGTCTGAGAACATTACATATTACACATATTACATAGCATTCCATATTATTTCATAGAATGATGACCTTATTTCTTTTCTCCATAGGCATTATGACTGGAGCATTTTATTCAGTTTCAACATTATTAAATCAAATGATTTTGACATATTATGAGGTAAGCTTTGTTTTGTTTTCTGAGGCTGAGTTTTTAATGGACCATTGGCTGGTCTAGAATTTGTTATATAGACCAGGTTAACCTGGAACTTGAAACAGCTTTCATGCCTCTGTCTCCCCAATGCTGGGATTACAGGCATGTGCCACTATGCCTGGCAAGCTTCTGTTTTTAAATTGTATGCTTGGCCAAGACTTTGTCTTTAACGTATAGTATAATTTGCATTAAGGTCCTTACTGATGCAAAAGACTGAGTCTGTGTTTTGAAAGGCAGCATTCCATCCACAACTAAGAGGTGGAAAAGCTGAAGAAAGACCCAGGAAACAAAAGGCAGAATGGGTCTCACAGTTAAAGGGGCCAGATTCCCATGTTGTCAGTGTGATGCCTGGTGCATCACCATTCTAGTTTGCTCTGGTCCCCTGTGAATAAACGCCATCCAAAATCACTATCTCCCATACTTTTTATTAAGCCTGTTTAACCTAATTTGCAAAACATACATTGAAAGTAAAGTTTATTAGCATTGTGGCAAACCTTAATTTGGATATATGGAAAAACACAAAACCTTGTAAGGGATTAAGCTTAAACGTTAAGGTTAGACTGGCCTCTCACTTAAAAATGATCCGGCACTTAACTATGTAAAAGTGTTGCTCTTTACTCTGTTTGTACATGTATAAATGTTTTCAGAGTCTTAACAGAAAGTAAGCACAGCCACAGGGTACCCAGGAAATGTTTCCTTTTTTTTTCTTTTATTATTTTATCATTTTTTGTTGTTGCTGTTTTAAAATAGAATACCTCAATTAACCATCCTCTCCAAAAACATAACTCTAGTCCATGTAGTGAATCTCCTTATTGTGTGCTTAATTTTATTTGATTATTTCCTAACCATGTAAATGAATTGGAAAATGAACCATCAGTTTGAATTAGGACTATCTGTTTATCAAATTGTTTTAGGGAGAAGAGGTTAATGCTGGAAGGATTGGGCTAACGCTGGTGGTGGCTGGAATGGTGGGCTCTATTCTTTGTGGCTTATGGCTGGATTACACCAAAACTTACAAGTAAGTTACAGTAGACCTATGCATGGTACATAAGTAAAGATATATTGATTTTAAAGAACAGGGTTTCACTAGGTAGTTCTGGCTGGCTTGGAGCGCATCATCCTGCCTCAGCTGCCCAGCTACCAGGATGGCTATTGTATCTGACTAAGACTTGGAGGGAGTGTTTCAGTGATCTACCTACATGAAAGCTTTACAAACCTTGCTACCCTTTTGTAGATTGTTTCTAGCTTAAAAAAAAAAAAAAAGCACCAGGTTCCAGACTGACTTTATCTTGTCTTTTTTTAAATGTAAAAAATAAATGTTCTCTTTCTATGGGAAAGCGCTAGCTACATTATCCACAGATGAGGAGTGGTTTACATTTTTCTCTATGACTTAGGAAAATCAGAATGAAACCACTTGTAATTTTGTCTTTGTTTTAGGCAGACAACGCTGATAGTGTACATTTTGTCTTTCTTTGGAATGCTTGTGTTTACTTTCACGCTGGACCTTCAGTACATCATGGTGGTGTTTGTTACTGGTGGGATCCTTGGGTAAGTGTCAGGTGTGTAGAAGAAAGAACACCTGCCCCCATGATTCTGAAGAGAGTATGCAAAAGGTCCTCCAAAAGCTCTTTAGATATTTTGAACTCTAGAAGTTCCATTATGTACGTATAAATGTACAATTCCTCAGAACTATAACAGAAATGTTTGGTCAGGCAGTGGTGGCAGAGACAGGTGGATCTCTGTGAATCCAGCCTGGTCTACAACACAAGTTCCAGGACAGGCTCCAAAGCCACAGAGAAACCCTGTCTCAAAACAAACAAACAACAAAGTTTAAACTATTTTGGTATGCTGTTGGAGAAAAACAGATGAGCCTTATCAGTCAAAGTGGCTGCCCACTCCTAACCCACCCTCTTGTGGTCTTGCTGTCCTAGCTTCTTCATGACTGGCTACCTCCCTCTGGGCTTTGAATTTGCTGTTGAGATTACTTACCCTGAGTCTGAGGGCACATCCTCTGGGCTCCTTAATGCGTCTGCACAGGTAATCCTCTGCTTCTTCTTAACCCCATACAGTTAACCAGGCCTGGGGGTAGCAATTTCAAGCACTAGGTAGGTAGAGGCAGGTGGATCAAGAGTCCAAGGCCAGTCTTAGCTATATAGTGTATTTGAGGCTAGGCTGGCTACATGAGACTGTCTCAAAAAACAGAGCAGACAAAACCACAAAAAGCAAGGTGATGCCTATGGTCAGGGAGCAGTGAGCTTGTCCTGACTATGTGGTTTAATAACTCTGATTTTCAGTGGTTGTTTCTAGAGACCAAATCATAAGGAAAGTCAGTTAAAGAGGGTTCTGTGGGTAGGTGTGTGTATATGGGGGGGGGTGTCCTTGTTTTATAAAACAACAAACTTAAAAGTTATTTCATGGATTTTACTTTAGATATTTGGAATTTTGTTCACATTGGCTCAAGGAAAGCTCATGTCAGACTATGGTCCCATGGCAGGAAACATTTTCGTGTGTGCTTGGATGTTTTTAGGCATCGTACTGACAGGTGAGTGCTGAGTGTGCACCATGCTGTCTGTATTCTGTTCTGGGTGTTGCTGCTTCATGGTGTTGCAAAGCTCTGGAGTTGAAAATGAGTAAGACGCAGGACACAGTTTTCTTCTCAGAATGTAAGTCTGTCCTTTCATTTTGGTGATTCCAAACTTAATACTGTTACTCTGCATAAAAGACAGTACTGGGGCTAGAGAGATGGCTCACCAGACCCAGGTTTAATTCCCAGAACCCATAGGGTAGCTCACAAGTCTAACTCTAGTTCCAGAGGATCTGATGCCCTCTTCTGACCTCCTCTGGTGTTTATCTTGTGTGTGTCTTGTCACCTTCCATTTGGGAATATGGGCATCTTAGACCTCCCCGTCCAGAGCCAAATTCACTGTTCCTATTTCTCTTGTGTTTTCTATTTCAGTTAACTAGTGCTGTCATCCATTCAACCAACTAAACAAGAAAATTCTGAAGTCACCACTTTCCCTCCATGACTATATCCCCCCTGTGCTCCTTAGCTGTTAGCTGAGGGGTGACTGGTAATCAAGCCCAACACACACTGAGGTGTCTTCTAAGCGCTATTGGCTGTCCCAGCATCACCCACTGTGTTACATGTTCTGATAGGAAAGGACAGGGTGACCAGTTTGTGCTAACTCTTGGTGCTTCTGTTTCAGCATTGATCAAGTCTGATCTGAGAAGACACAACATAAACATGGGGCTTACAAATGGTGACATTAAAGCTGTAAGTAGCATTTTAATGGCTGTACTCTGAGTGTATAGGGGTAAATGGGAAACCATTCTTGTTTTATCGCCAACCTTTTTTTGTTTGTTTGTTTTTTCGTCAACGATTGACTGCTAGGCAGTCAACAATTGTTAAACAGTCAACGAATGACTCTTAGTCAGTTGACTGTTAGACGACAGTCAATGATCGGCTGTTAGATAGCATGCCAGATGTGGTATATGTAACTCTTCAGTGCCAATTATTTCTACAGGTACCAGTTGACAGTCTGATAGATCAGAAACCAAAAGTGGTGATGTTGTCCAAGCAGTCAGAATCTTCACTCTGAAGAGAGCACATCATTTGTCCTTCAGCATGGGGATGTGGCATGGTCCTTGGGGAGCTGTGTGAGGACACTTGTTGGAAATTATGGGATGAAGTCTGAATATTATTTTGTTTTATTGTTAATTTAAGCAACATTTTGCTTAAAGGGCCCTTGCTTACATCTTGTTAACACTACTGTTCATCTAATATTGTCCATTTTCAGTTGTGTATTGTGTGTATGGAAATAACATTCTGGACATTTTTTTCAGGATGTTTTGTTTTTTATGGGGATTTAGTTCCTACAAGACATGTAAGAATATGTGCAATTCACATATAAGCATGCCCAATGCATTTCCAATTAGCTATCATCTCACTGTGTTGACCACGTCAAACATCACAGTGTGAGCACCGCATACCTTTAGGAAGTGCTGCTGGGATTGGGATTCCAGAAGAGCCCTCAGATTTCCCCCATCTTTTGTATTGTTATACAGTGTGTTGTGACACATTCTGTCCCACACAAAACAATAGTTGAATACACAGGTTAAATCTATTACACTCTGGTTAGCTAAGGAGCTGAGGCCCACACAGATCATCTGGAGTTCTTCTCTGTGCTGCCTTCATACAGATAAATGCTAATTCTGTATTTTTCGGTGCAACTTGAAATACAATAGTTTTCTTCCCATTGTCTATTACTCTCAAGAAAATTGCATCATCTGTGTTATGGCTAGTTCATAATTTCTTATATCACATCTATATTTGCCTTGGCGATACCTAAGATAAGGAGTCTGTGATAACTTCAGAGAGCCCACGTGTCTCCATTCTGTGGAGAGCCTTTGAAATACTGCCTGCTGTGTTTCCAGAATTTCTCTCTCTGATGGTTGTCATGTGTTCTGTGAGTGCTGGGAACAGGCTCTACTCATGCTCAGGACCACATGAGTTTTCACAGTGCCTCTCACTGTGTCTTGTTTACAGTGAGAATTAAATGTCATTGATGTTCTGGCATTTTATCAACAATAATATTTAAATAGTGTAATTTTGTAAATTGTACCAAAAAATTACATAATATCAAAATGCACGCAGAAAAGCCAATCATGTAGTGAATATGCTTGAAGCAAATGCAACTTTGACTTAGGCAAAATATGCATTGATTTTGATATTATTTTCTTTCATCAAATTGCTATAAATTATGTGGAATCTGACACTGGAAAATGTACTAGAAGAACTTAATATCACTTAGGATCTGGAATTCTGGTTTTGTGTCCTTGGTGTGTTTTCTATCATGGTAATTCTGGGCACATCATTTAACCTCTCTGGAAGCATTTTCATGATCCATGAAATAAATGCTTTCACTTTGATCCAAAACAATAGTTCTCAACCTGTGGGTTGCAACCTCTCTGGGAGTTGAACAACCCTTTCACAGGGATTGCATATCAGATATTTATATTGTGTTTTATAGCAGTAGCAAAATTACAGTTCTGAAGTATCAATGAAATAATTTTATGGTTGGGGGTCACCACAACCTTGAGGAACTATGTTAAGGAGTCGAGGCATTCAGAAGTTTGAGAACCACTGATCTAAAAGATCATTTGCTGGGCTGTGGTGGGGCACGCCTTTAATCCCAGCCTTTGGGAGGCAGAGGCAGGTGGATCTGTGTGAGTTTGAGGACAGCCAGTTCTACACAGTGAGTTCCAGAACAGCCAGAGCTACACAGAGAAACCCTGTCCTGAAAAACCAAAATTAAACAAACTAAAAAGATCTTTTAAAAATAGTGTCATTCATCATGGAGTAGATCAAATCACTGTCCCACAGGAACTTAGGGATCTGGCTAGAGAGGAGCACTGAGGACAATGGAATTTAACAGTGTGACTGCTCCTGTGTAAGACAGGGAGCGTTTAAGTAGCTTTCTAACCTTTTTAGTCAGTCTGTAGTAGTTCAGGCAGAATCTGTGTAATCAGTAACTTCTTTTAATATTTATGTCACAGGTTAAAAATGACCAAAAATATAGCCCCCCTCCAGCTGTTTCACTTTTTAAATTGACAGTGCTATTTACAACAATCTTGTACTTGTTGAGTTCCTGAAGCTTTGAACAAATCAGAGATGAAGGTTGGAATATTTAATGCCTGAAAAGCATATGTGTGCATTGTTTGTCACTGTTTGGAAAAGGGATAAAGTATGATGTAATAGGGCAAAATGAATTAATATTCTCAGTATTTCAAGTGGGTGTTATGGATAATATATCAGGTGAGAATTTGATATAATTCTGTGTTATGATTTTATTAGCAGTAATTATCATCTGTGGTAATTTCATTCAGATGATTTTAAGAACAAAACTAGATGTCCTCAGAAGCTGTTGTGTTTATAGATGTTATGAACATAGCCTTTGTCTTTTGAGAATATTGGAGAAATGTCGTGTGAAAATGTTTGTGCTGGTAACTGGGACAGCACCTGTGTCTTATGTCTTCATTCCTGTTATTATTATTACTATATTTATAATTTCCTTATGTGCTTGTTCCTCATCATTTCATACTTGAAATAAATTTATTTTTTTAATGCTACTCTTATATGTCTTTTAAAAACAAGTTCCAGTGTCTGGTATGTGTGGGAAGTTAGAAAGTGATTATATGGTTTTAGAGTGAACCACAGGAAAACAAGTCCACTGCAAGTCCACTGTGGTCATCACTCTGCAGAAAGTAAAATATTTTATTTGCTTAAAAATAATGTAAGAGTAGACTGCGAGCTGGGCGGTGGTGGTGCACGCCTTTGATTCCAGCACTCAGGAGGCAGAGAACTCTGTGAGTTCCAGGCCAGCCTGGTCTACAGAACTAGTTCCAGGACAGCTTCCAAAGCCACAGAGAAACCCTGTCTCAAAAAACCAAAAAAAAAATAAATAAATAAATAAACTGGGAAAGTGACTTAGCACCTAGGATCCTAGGATGTGTATGTTCCTAACATCCCTGCATCAGGCAACTCACAACCGTCAACACCCTCTTGTGGTCTCCATGGGCAACTGCACTCACATGTACATGCCCCCACACATGTGCATAATTTAAAATAATAAAAACAAATCTAACCAAAAAAAAAAAAACAACTTAGAGAGGGCGACGTCAGCATTATTCTCAGAATCATTTCTCACAGTCTTTATGGATGGCACTTTTGCTGGGGATAAGAAATCCAGTGAAGAGGTTTCAGCACAGTTCAAGCAGAAAACCTCTAAACAGACACACTGAGAAAGGTAAGACAAGTTCACTTTAACTGCATACCCTCACCCAGAGTGGCACATCATGGTGCCAAGTAGACTCCATCTGAGAGCACAGAGCAAACACTTACTTCATCAGCTTTGTAGAAATCTATGCTTTCTAACTGGCCCAGCCAGGATAGTGAGGTGATCAGTATAGCTCAGTGTTGGAGAAGGCAGAAGCAGAGAAGACCAGGAAGCCTTTGGCCCTTCCAGACTCCATCAGGAAGCTACTTGGGATGCCTTGCCTGTGGACTATGGTCACCGCATTACTAAGTATGCCATACCCTTGATCAATCAGGCTGGCTTTCCAGGCATGTCCACATGGGTAGTGACTACAAGCATCTAGGGCAGATGTCCAACCTGGCAAGGCACCCAGACTAGGGAAGCTCTGTACACCTAGCCTGGCTTTTCAGCATGGAAAGCAGACAAGAGGGAAAGTCTATAGCAAATGTCTGAGGCTCAGAGTCCCTGGCCAAGCTAATCTGTACATTCTCTTCTTAAAGGTAGTTAGTATGTCCTGGAGGAGGGGCCAGAGACATGGCTCAGTGAATAAGGCACCCTGACTTCAAGCCCTACTGTCAGAGGAGAGCACTGACTCACCCAAGGTACCCCCTGACTGCCACACATGATCTGTAGCATGTGTGTGTACACACACACACAGAGGCTCAAACATAAACTTAAAAAAATCTAGAGGTGTAGTTTCTTATACATATGCAACTGTGAAAGACTTGAAAATAAAAAACAAGCTGGATGTTTGTGATAGCTCATGCCTTCCTGCCTAGCATTTGAGAGGCGGGAAGATCAAATTTCAGGGCCATCTTCAGCTTTGTAGTAAGTTTGAGGCCAGCCTGTGCTACACAAGACCCTGTCTCAAAAACTTAATATTTAATATTAAAAACAAACCAAGGAAGCATGATGCTTTTGTCAAGGTATTTTGTCACAGCAACAGGAAAAGCAACTAAGATAGAAAATTGGTACCAGGAGTAGGGTTACTATGATGAATCTGACAAAGTGGTCTTTTGGCTTTTGGAACTGATTTACAGGGGGCATGTAGAAGAGATTGGGATGATGAGCTAAAAAAATAAAAGTCCCTTGAATGCTGAAAGCATTCTGTTGCTGCATTATTGTGGTGGGGGCTTGGAAGGCTAGAAGGCTAAAATAGACACAGACAGTAGTTCATGGGATTTCAAAAGGAATAAGGATTTTACTAGGCACAATTCTTGGTACATTCTGTCAAGGAATTTAGCTTTGTTCTTCCCATGCCCTGAAATTTTGTGTCCGGCTAAATGAATTCATTTTGGGCAGAGGAAATTTCCAGAGAGGAGAGCAATCAGGCCATAGCCTGTCTTTTGCTTACTGCTCTTATCCAAACCTTCAGTGGAAAGAAGTAAAACATTGGGCAAAACAGAAATGTAAGAAAAATATGCAACTTGATAAGGAAAAGAGAAAGGTTAAAGTTGGAGCCAATATGGATGCTAAAGAAGAGGTTGTAATTGTTAAGGGTAAACCTTCTGCTCTTTACTGGGACAAACAGACACCAAGGGAAGACCCCCTCATCTATGGCTGCAACTTGTGAATATACAAATTCATTTTGAAAGAGAGCTAAGCTTCAAATTTGGGAGGAGTTCCCTACTTCTGGGAAGTAACTGTCCAGGAAAGTGTCTCCCTGAGAGAAATCAGGCAGAGTACTTCAACAGGTCCCAATTGGACCAGGCTCCATCACAAGATGGCAACATTGTCTCCTTGTTACTTTCATACCCTTCTTCTACAGCATGAGAAAGACTCAAGATTAAGAGGATCACAAGTGTTACTCCATTGTGTCAGAGAGCTGCAAAGACCAGGCAATGTGTGGCAGAGTTGTAATCCCTGCAAGGAGCCACGGTAGGTCATTTTGTGAAGACAGGGTGAGGCCCAAGTAGCAGAGAAGATTGCAGAATGTTGGTGACGCCAAAGACCTGGTACATACCCTAAGGGAAGATGCATGTAGGATGTGGAGCCATCTCAAGAGAGCCTTTGTATGCTGAAGACAGCCAAACTGACATTGAAAGGCTAACATCAATCCTCTGGGAGCCAGCTGCTAGACAAGGAGCCCTGGGGCCAGTCATCTCTTGCATTTTGTTGTGGTAATGTGAAGCTGACTGCTACATATGAGTGTAACACTTGATAGCGTGAGCTACAGGGTAGCTTCCTGGTGCTTTGGGTACATCATACTGCTGCACCTGCTTCTTAAACATCCCTGGGTAGTACATAAGATGTGGTATAAAAAGCACAGTTTAGGAAGCCTAAAACATTAAAACCTGATTGGTTGGGGGAATTAATATGGAAAAATCTTGGAATTTAAACCCTCTTAGTATTCACTTTTTTAGTTAATAGCTAATAACTTATGAGGGTTATGTTTTGAGCAGAAAACCTCTTGGTGACTCTGACCCACTATGGCTCTTGTGGGAAAATGGCCCTAATAAGAACTTGTGGATTCCCACATGTGAGAGGCAAGCTGGCTGATTTGGGAGAACATGGTGCTATGACATCTGAATTTGATCTTGTTCATAGCAGCTGCTAATAAATTGACCATGGTTATCTGGCTATTCCACATGTGTGTGAGTACACAACAAATTCAGACGTCTCGGTGGCCAGGGAACCTGGACAGCAAAGGAGCACAGCTCAATTGCTCCCATGGCCAGGAAAAATGGTTCTTAGGTTTGTTGCACAACCCACAACATAGGACTAAAGAACAAACAGACACCAAGCATGGTGGCGCACACCTTTAATTCTAGCACTTAGAGGTAGAGGTAGGAGGATCTCTATGAGTTTAAGGCCATCCTCATCTAAATAGCAAATTCCAGGCCAACAAAAACTACATAGTGAGACCCTATCTTACACAACAAAACAACTAGAAGGAAAGCCCAGACTAGACCATACCCACATGTGCAATATTATGAGCAATTTTTCCCACCAGCCTGGTCCCACAGCTGTGTCAGCCCCAAATAACACACAGAGATGCTGTATTAGATATAAAGCTGTTGGCCCGTTACTATGTTACTAGCAGTTTGTTTTTTGTTTTGTTCTTTTCTTTTTTTTCTTTTTTCTTTTTTCTTTTTTTTTTGGCTAGCTCTGTCTTAAATATTAACCCAATTCTATTAATCTAAGTGTTTCCAGAGAGAGGGTCTGGACTTCTCTCACCATTCTACATCTTGACTCTCCTCCTTACTACCTCTCCCAGATTCCTCCTTGTCTTCTATTTCCACCTATCTTGCTTTCCTATTGGCCAACAGGGCTTTATTCATTAACCAATAAGAGAAACATATTTACAGAGTGACATCTCCCATCTGTGCAACACTTTTTACAAGTATAAAGCAACTTCTGTATAAAGCACATACATTTTCTGTATGTTTCTGTATGCCTATCTGGCCTTTCTATTATTTAAATAACCATATATTAGTCCAGTGGGGCCAAAATAGCACAATATACTTCATGTCTGTCTACATGTAGATATCTGTTCATTTGGTTTTTCAGCAGAGTGGAGGCCAGAATTCCTCAGTTGCTGTCCCTCTTGTACACCTGTTACTGCCCAAGCCACTGCCCCTTCCCTTGTGTAAGAAGTAAGAATAATGTCAGAACCCAGAGCATAACAGCTAAAGCAGTCCTTCCCCTCTCACAGATGTTGGCAGACGCCCTAATGAAGGCACTCTGTGAATGCCTAGTTAATAGATGTCCTGGTACCAGGACCTTTCCCCTGGGGTATCAGTTTACATCAATGGGATATTGATGGCCATTCACCCTGCTCCCCATCCTTCCTGTGCCTGCTGCCTGAGCATCAGAGCCTGGCCCCAGGCTTGTGCTATAAAACCTCCCCTTCCTCTGAAAGGTATAAGAAGAGCTGCTCCCCACACATCTGCCTCAAGGGCCCTGGTTCCTCGGAGCCTCTGCCATACTGTTGTCTATCTGTCTGCCCAATAATTCATCTCAGTGGCCCTCTTGACCTCATCTCTGAGACATTTCTTTTTTTTTTTTTTTTTTTTGCTGTTTCAAAAAGCTTTATTTTTACTTGGTCCAAGATCTGAGAGGGGCTTCAGAGCAGTTACAAAACTGCCTAGTGGCTTGAGAGGTTCGGGTGAGGGTCCTGAGGCTGGCTGGTGCAGAGCAGAGGGAGGGAGCCCCTTGGAAGGGGGAGGCCTCCTAGTCATGCTTGAGAGTGAGCCGCTCAAAGAGATACTCGCCCAGAGATGGCTGGGGCACGCCAGTCTGCGTTGGCTGGGGCCCAGCCAGCCTACGGATGTTGGTCAGGTGGTTGCCCATCTTCTTGATGAGCTTCACCTC